TGCTGGGACTAGCATTAAATCAAATTCCACCCTTAATCAGATCTTTTCTATTCTAAAACAAATTCAGAAATGCAAGAGAGAAACAAAAACAAAAGAGCATTAGGCTTTCAAAAACACAGCTCTATAAATAAAGCTATGTTCTGCCACTTGGAGAATGAATTCCTCTGCAAGCTTTGCTGAGGTGGTGAAAACAGAAAACAGGGGTTGGAAAGGACCAATCTGACCCCAAATCTGTATCCACCTGCTCTGACATAGCTATGAGGAAGAGTCTCTCTGAGGAACTCTGTTTCAGACCTGCAGAGAATAGCTTCACATGTGGCTTATACATAAAATTATTTCACATTTCATTGATGGGCATGAATGCACTTCACGTTTCTGTTTATTTTGAAAGGGTCATCTTGAATTTTTTGATGAAAAGAAAAAAGCACCCCAGACACCTGCTGTTCTGCTCACACAGACAATCTGTGTCAGAGCAGGCAACTTGATTAAACCAATGGTTGCTCTTCCTAAGCCAGTACTCATTCTGAACACACCACTGCAGGCTATGCTTCAACACGAGGTTTGCCACATCCTGCAGCCAGCTGCACATAAGGCAGTAAAGTCACAGTCCAAAGGGAGCTGTGTGTTGGCAACAGCACTTTAAAACTACTTGCATAGCAAAGACCTATCATAAAGTGGTTCAAAAGTAGCCGGTTTAGCTACTGACAGGAGACAACTAGCATGGCTTCTAGGCTCAACCCTGCCCTTGTGAGGTCTGTCTCTTCAGAGGCAGAGCTGGCAGAAGAAAAGCCATGCTTCCCCCCTACCTGTGCCCATTATTCACTGTAGTGCAAATCCACACAGACTTCAAGCAAGGACAGCAGAGTCTCAGAGTAAATCAACCTGGCAGCAGGTTGAGCACACACTCTCTGCTGCTGTAGTCTTCACCACCACAGATTGGACTGGCTGCTTCAAGAGGAATCCATCTCAGAAGCACCAGCCCAGTCTAAATCTCTGTAAGAAGATGCCAGCAACAAAGGCTTCAAGGGCCTATTCATAGATGTCTTTCAAAAGCAACTTTTGTTCACAGCTGCATGTAACAGCTGTACTTTATTTTTATAAACAAATGACAAAAGTAAAATTACCTAGAGCCTCTTCTGCACTGCAAAGAGCTACACCTGAAACTCAAACACAGCTTTGATTCTATTACTGTCAATCATGACAAAGCACTACTTTATATTTTAACAGTAAGTGCCATAGGAATTTTTAATCTCTCATCTGCACATACCACATTACTTAAATTGCATCTCGCAAATGCTCATCCAGAGACTTTCCAGGGGATTCTCAAATCACCATGTTCTAATCTTTACACCTAACAGGGTTTATTAGCTGGCAATAAGCAGCTGCTTTGGAGAGCAACACACCATAGAGGACACTGCATACAACAGCACAATTAACAAACTATACTGAAATTGTGTATAAGATGTGACACTGCAGGATCACAACCAGCATCCATCAAACCGTTTATGATCTCTTTCCACACTCCCTTCACATTTAAATGGTACATATACTGTTTCCAAGATTAATTTGGCTTCCTCTTTATTGGAAGCATAAACCGTGGAGGAAGACTGATTCTACTTTCTAACAAAATCAATTACTATTTATCATTATATTATGCTTCCAGGAGCTGCTAAGCCTTTACCTCCAAAATTATGCCTGGCTCAAAGTAAGATCAAGCACTCTACACTTACATACTGTCCAGTAAATGTTCTTTAATCTCTCATCTGACATTTGTTGCTCCAAAAACCTACGATAAATACAGTTTGACATAAGATCTAATCCTGTCCTTCAGGAAAAATAAGACTTTGCATGCATGCTGCATGCACCAGTTACATGAAGATAAACAAAAAAATGTTAGGGAAAAGATTCTTGAGCTCCGTCACTGTGCAGTAATCATCTGCTTCTCCATGGTGTTTTATCTGCTCTGAATTTTGAGGTTGTTTTATTTCAAATCTGAAAATAAAAGAGTCTGAAAGTCTGGTCCAGATTAAATGGAACTTGGTTGTGTGCCAGAAGATAGTTAATCACATTGAGCTAGGCCACAGAGATCCTGAAGAGAAAGCCGGCTAGCAGAAATAAGAATGAAAGCAGGACCAGGTAGACTGGAAAGGAAATGAATATTCTGCCCAATGTCAGTAGGAAATTTAAGAGCAAGGATGGCTTTTTTTTTTCAGCAGAGGCAGAATGTGAGCAGCTGTGTTGTTTTTTTTAAGTCCATGGCTCCATGGCAGACTGGTTCACAACTTAAGAAAGATGTATTGCAAGACACCTTCAGCAACTCTTGAATATTGGTGCCTAGAAAAGAGGACCAAGTGCTGGGAAGGAGCTGGAAGGAGGTGCAGGCCTCCTTTGACTGCAAGGTCCCACCAGGCATCACAGCCCCAGCCCGAGTGCAGCACTGTGGCCTCTCTTTGCTGCTGACCAGGAAGGGCTTGAGGTAGGGACCAGCTCTGCTGCAACTGGACAGGGATCTATGAGAGCCAGGCACTCTGACCAGCAGGCTGTGAATGGAAAACAAGCCTTAACGGATGCACACAGCTCAGCCAAGCATGTTGCCAAAACAGAAGCACACTCACTTTTGAGGCATCAGAGGTCCAGGGCCAAAGCAACTACAGCATATGACTTCAGTCCTGAGAGAAGCTGCACTCAGGCAGCCCTGCTGGATGGCAGCCACTGTCCCCTGGCCACCTGATGCACCACCACCAAGCCTGTACTCACTCCTTCCCCATCTGCCAGAACAGGGGCACTAGGTCCCTTTGATTACACAGCTTAGTTTTCCATCCTCCTCTGACTGTTCAAAGGGAAACAAAGCACACCCAGGTACAGATTGTGGCTATACGGTGCTATAAATGCCTTGTCATGATAAGACCATACCAAGGTCAGTAATGTTGGATAAATTGAAAGTGAGGTTTCCATTTCAAGTTGCCTACTCCCAGCTTTGCCCAGAAAATCAATTTCTGCCTCCTGTTTCTAGAACCAATTGAGATTTTCTGGTATTCAGCATAGCACAGAACACGTAGAGGGGAAAAGGAAAAGAAAAACAAAAACCAGCATTGCTATTATGTGCTGAAACTCCCCAGTGACTTTCAAAGGCTGGCCAAAAGAACAGGAGGGTATTTTTGACAGACCCTTTGGATCAAATTGAAATATATTAATCCCTCTCTACCCACCAGCAACCCGTAGATGGTCAGGGCCCTCCACCCTCCCCGAGGATTCCTTTTACCTGTCTGCCACCATGTATCCACGAGGGTGCAGCGCCCTTCTCCCACCACATGGTAGAACCACTGCCAAGCTTCATTGTTGATGGGCTCTCCCACTAGACAGAAATAAGAAAGGAAGCAGCTGAAGACTCAGGGGGTTGCAGGCAGTTCATTCTCCCTTCTGGTGCACGACACACTGCATGTATGACCTTCAAGCAGAATGCTTACAGCACGTTTGCTGGGATGTGTAGGACTGCAATGCACTCATGTAACTGAGGGCTAACTTCTTCCAGAAAGATCAAAAGGGAAGCACCTATGCCAGTAAAATTCAAAGTGATCCCATTTACCATTAGATAAATCTTTTTAGCACAACGTGATCCTGCAAAATAAGCCAGGAAACAGGCAATCACACTAAGGTTCAATGGCCCCAGCTTCAGTTTGTTTCTCCTTCTGCTAAGAAAATATCTGAAAAGCCGGTCAGGAAGCCTGCTTCATCATCTATTTTTAAGCACATCCCATCTGGTCAGCCAAGCGCCTTCCTTTCACCAGCCAGAACCCCTTGTCTTTTTCAGATGAAGATTTCATGCCCCTTACCAGATCCCAAGGTCTTCAAGGAAGATCTGTCGTATTTCTTCACCCACTCTTCTCCATAGTTCAGCAGCAAACGTATAGCTGTAGGTGCTCCATAAAACTGATTAATTTTCAACCTTTGTACCATTTCCCAGTAACGACCTGCAAAATCACAAATGGGCTTTGTATGTCTGGCACTGACATACTGCTGCAACAGCTCAGCAGGACGGTTAACAACCAAAGCTAAGGCAGCAACTACTGTAGGCAGAGAGCAAAACAAATGGTAACTTGAGTTTTTCCACCCTGGATGCACAGATGTTCCTGAATGTCCCAGACACTTGTTCCAAATAAGCAGAGTTTACCTCCCCTGAGCAGGCAGGTCACACTGGACAGGTTTCTAAATCCCCTTTGTGTGACAAAGACTGCCATGTCTAGCCAAACCTTTGCCCACCACTTCCTCACCTGGGTCAGGGTACACTGGAGTGCTTTCAAACAGGACAGAGGTGGCTCCATTGCAGAGTGGTCCATACACAACATAGCTATGTCCCGTGATCCAGCCAATGTCAGCCACACAGCCAAAAACATCACCTTGCTGGTAGTCAAAGACATACTGCAAAGATAAATGTAAGGCCAGCTGACTCTGTTGGCAGGCACGAAGAGCTTAGAGGTAAGGAGCTGCACTGGACATCCAAGCGAGAGCAAGAGAGCACACAGGCCAAGTAGAGCCAGGCATGTAGGACACAGCAGCACAAAGGCCCACCCAAGGTGAGGAAGCAAGTCAGAGGGACCAGTACCAGAGCTTCCAGGATCCTGACTGCTTCTGCAAACATATAGGGAGCATGGCTGTACCAACAGCTGCTCAGATTTGATCAACAAAGCCACAACCAAATCCCAGAGCCCTGGCTACCTAAGGTGGCCTAGTCCAAGCAGTCCACGTGGGGGAGCTACCTCTGAACTGCAGAGAAGCTGCAGGCCTTGAGGGAGCCAACAGTATCAACTGTTGGATTTCCATGAGAAAGCTGGAGAAACTGATAGGTGCCCTTGAAACATTTTCTGAGAAATGTTCTTAGCTGCTGAGCTTCTCCAGCAGTGTGTCGCTTTCCAGATGCTATCTTCTTCCTACTCATCAAATTCAAGATAAAGATCTTAGAAACTCATTATCTTGTCTTGGTTATGGAAAATGCTTCCCACTGTAGATCTAACTCTACTGTATGGTGAAGAGGTCCTGACTCGTAAGGCAGAGTCAGCTTTATATTTTAATAGAAAGAAACTGCATCAGAAAACCCCATGAATGTGTGACACGTGTCACACGTGAGTGTGGAAAGACCACAGAGGTCACACAGGTCAGCTGATCCCCCTACCTAGGGGAGACAATTCTCACCTTACTTTTATAAGTGTCTTTACCTCTCAGGCTCTGATGCACCTCTGAAGTGACCACAGCTGCATACAGTGCCTCCCTGCATGTCTACACCAGGATGCAGGATCTACCTTCTGGACTAAAAGAGATGCCTTGCAGGTGACACTTAGAAAAGCTGATGTAATAAATGCCCTTCATGCAGAGGTCTGACATACATGTTCAACTCATTATAAAAATTCAACTGTTTCAGCCTAAAAAACTGAAACCTCTGCCTGAATTGTGTGTGATTACAAACAGGGTGATACCACTAGAGCCAGATGGAGATCTTTCACTGAAGTCCTCTTCACATTTGTTACCTTTTCATATGCAGAGCTCAGAACTAAAGCTTGAAGAAGCAGTGCCTTGACTTTTTTTCTCATGAGGATGGGGTTTAAAACATTTAGCCTAGATCACATAGAAAAGCAGTGCAAAGGTGCAACCACAGAGCATGAATGTCATTTTTGATCTTCAGACAAGTGCTATGCAAAGAGGTTGCTTTAAGAGTCTATATCCTCTCTGAAGTGAAAAACAGCTAGCATCCCACTGCAACATACTACAGTAACAGCCACATTACCAATGCCAGTAAAATACTTACCAGAATCAATTCAGCTGCATCACTTTAAAGTCCTCAAATTCCAGTCTGCAATACTAGCTCATTTTAAATGCAAAAGTAGCAGCACTGCAGTTTCCTTCCTTTCATAACTCTAGGTTCTGGTTTGCATAGTATTATAGTCCCCAGGAAGAAATCCTGAAGATTAATGGCACATTCTCAGACATTTTTTCAGTTTTTTTACACCCAATAAGCCAACTGGGCAGCGAAATAGAATACAGCACCCCTCACCAGTCCAAGTCCCTCTCTTTGGTACTGTCAGAAGGTAAATGAACCTTCTCCAGGTGATGATGGTGAGTTACCTTGTGAGTAAGAGCAGCATACAGCAAGTATCCAGCCTGGGTGTGAACGATTCCTTTGGGTTTCCCTGTGCTGCCTGAGGTATACAGCATGAAAAGCATGTCTTCGCTGTCCATGCTCTCTGGAGTGCATTCAGAAGCTGCCTTGTCCATCTCCTAAGGAAAAAAAGGTGGTAGTGACAGAAGGATTTTGGCTATATGGAGTAAACCAATAGTCTATAAGCATGTCAGCAGTATCTAGAGACAAGAACCACTGTTGCTTGCTCACAAATGTCCATGTACATATGTATCATAGGTTATATGTGCTCACCTAGTGGAAATGGTCCTGTGGATGCATAGCATGTAGCCTTTCCACCAATACTTCTGCTAGGCACTGAAGTCAAGGGGAACTGGCCAGATAAAATAGTATTTCAGGAAAAAATGGTAGGTCATAGCTTATATTTCAAGCCTTTGCAAGCTGCTGGAGAAAACCAAAGTGTGACTGAAAACACGAACCACACTTGATAGCAGCAGCAAAGCTGACTGGATACTGTTTAGGATCTTCCTTTTCCTTTTAAAACTACAATTAAACTGTGCATTCTTCTCCCCTCCCCTGGTCCCAGCAGTGGATGACTGTCCTGCCCATTTCATCTGCAAATTCTCATTGCTTCTACCCCCAAGAAGCTTTACTCTCCTGCCACTGTCATTCTCCTCACACTGCACTGTTTGGTCAGCTGGGTGAGATACTCTCCTCATCTCCACAGTCAGAACCACAGGAAGGGAAAGGTGCAATGCCCTACTAGGTCAGAGCAAACTTATGGCCCAGATTGCGTGCACAGTCTGGCAGAGGAAGTGGAAATAACACACTTTGAATGAGATGTTAATGGTCACTGAGCCTTGGAGCAGCAGAGGGTTTGCCTTCCCTGACTGTAGATTTTTCAGGACAAGGCTGAACATTTTTCTTATCCATGTACAAACTT